AAGGGTTTAAAATATAAAGTTTAGGAATGAAATGTTTGGTTTCTTTTAAAAATGACAGCTTTTCAGGTGTCTGTTTTAAAAATTAGTTTTGAAAATCTGTGGAACTTAACTCTACAACTGCAGGAGGCAAGAAATTAATTACTGTTGTCACAACGTCATAGGATAACGTGTTTCAGTGTTATGATCAAAGGTAAAATATCTTGAAAAGGATGCATTAACTTATAGTAATTGGCTCCTAAACTTCTTCCATAGGATTTGAGTAACTGTGTTTAAAGCCCATGACAGTGGTTTGTATGCTGTGACAGGGGGCTGGGTCCCTTAGCTTTTACCTGCTCTTCACATTAGCCTGACTGAAAGTCTATGAGCCAAAACTATAATCGCAGCTCCAGATGCCCCTATAATTTGGATCTGGAGGAGAATTTAGCAGATCAGGCCCACGTCTAATTACATCAGACAAATTATTGGATAATTTCTTCTGCTTTACCTTTGCAATTCACTGGAGCAGTTAATTCCTCCAAAAGCAGGCACAACCTTTCTCATTAGAAATTATATTTTGGCCTTTTTCATGTGAGTTTCTTATTAAACACAGACATAAGCACACACACACTCAAAGTTTTGCTTTTATCATATTAATGCTACTTAAGAGAATATAAGATGTTTAACAGAAATTTGGCTTTAGCCACGAGATGATCTGCCACTTCATGGAAGCAAAAGAACTACATTACTCTATATGCTTCCACAGGACAGAGCTGGTGGGCAGCAAGGAAGAGCCAGGAGAGGAAAGGACTGATGGCAACTGATTTGAATATCCACTTTGTGGTGTCATGGAACAGAAACTTCTGGTTTCTCTTTTTGAAGTTTCTGCTTCTTTCCTGCCTATGATGGAAGGGAGGTATTCATCAGTTCCTAACTCTAATATTTATATTACCTTTTCTTTCTCTTTTGTATCTCTTTTTTTTTTTTTACTGCAGGTACACCCCATTATTTCTAAGACCCTATCTGAAACAGGTTTCAGCCATCCTGAAGGGTACAAAGACATGCTTAAGATACAGAAAGGTTACAGTCTGGTGCAGACTAAATAGAAACAGAAGGATGTTTGTGCTAGGTGGAAGTGCCAGGCTATGGTTCTATGGTCACCCAGAGGCGTAGTCAGATACAAAGTTCTAGATTCTTGCTTCTTTTCTACATTGCCCTTTGGTTCTCTTTCCTCCCATCCGTACCAAAGAAAAAAAAATCTGAAGAAAAAGAAGTCTGGGATATTTCACAAAATATCCCAGAAAAAGAAACCTTAAATATCATTCTGCTTTGCTTTGTATTGATTGAGCATTGTATTTTTTGAAGTGAGGAATCCAAGGGATTTAGTCTGAGACTTCAGACTTAGGGGACTAACAGTGGCACCTATAAATTTTGAAGCTGTGGACTGTGATTCTTTTTCCCAAGTTTCAGCTATTTTATCAGCGTTATTACTTAGAAAGTTCTGGCCTCTTAACTGAGCTGCAGAACTGCATGCTTCTCAGTTGCATAATATTTTGGAAATGCATGCTTCATTGAAATGTCATTGATTTTCAGCTAAAGTGAAAATGCCCTCATTTAATGCTTTCTTAAGAGAATTACAAAGGAGGCTGGAGAGGGTTTGGACAAAGTCATTATTAACTGCATATCACAAAATTTGGATTTATATATTTTTAATGCAGAAATTCTTCACAGCTCCTAAATCAAAACACTGTTCTAACATTATGTCTAATTTTATAAATGGAAAAACCCTATTTTGTTCAAGACTTTCAAATTCCTTTGCTTTGTTCAACAAACCCTTATACTTGCTGTGAGGGGACTGCTGATTGCTTTGTCAGCAAGACCAATGATATTCAATCTTTGATTTCTGATTCATTTGCTTCTTCCTTCCCTTTGATGAACAGAATGAATGTCTAGCTTTTTCCTTTCCTTTCAAAAAAATTTCTCTCGCCTCTCACTTCCTTGGCAGTGAGAGCATTTTATGTAAAACATTTTGTCTGTCTTTTTGACTATCTCTTCCTCTTAAGTGAGCTCAGAGCTGGGTAAGTACTTTACAGTATTTCATTAAAGGAAACAAAATTTTCTCTCTGTCTATCATTGGCTCTGATGTTAGGGTGTCAGCTTTACCTCTGACCACGATGCTCTGGCTGTTTCCTCAGGCCTTTGTGCTGGCTTTGCTCTCTGAGGTGGCCAGGTCTACCCCATTTTCTGGTAGACAATAGGTAAGAAGTTCTGAAAGAGGTTGAACATGAAGGATAAGGTGAGATGAAGGAGGGAATCTTGGACAGGGCCTAGCAGTTCCCATAAATTAGGCCCAGTTGACCTTGATGTTGTCATATATAAGCTTCAGGTAGTCCCAGAGGATAAGGCCACAGCTTAGTTATGAGCACAGAAGAGTACCCTAAGGGTAAAAAACTCACCAAACACTGTGAAAGTGGTGACAGCACCCTTGAGAGGGGTAGGTGGTGAGCAAAAGCAACAACAGCATTCAGCTGTCAGGTGTGGGAATAACTTTAAAAGAGGCAACTAAGAACAGGCTGTTTTCTACCTGCTCCAATGACTGTCAGCAGGCGGAGAACATGGAGATGCCCCAGCTGAGCCCTGCGAGCACTCACCATGTGGTCCCAGCCCCTACACTGTTCCCCTGCCTTTCTTCACAGACTGCATGGGAGCCATGAAGATGGTCAAAGGGTAGAGAACCTACCCCATTAGAAAAGACTGAAGGAGTCAGGTCTTTTCTTGCTGTAGAAGAGAGGGTTCATCACAATATTCAGACAGGTCAAGGCCAGCTAAAAGGAGAACAGAGCCTCTCTTTTCATGAGGAACCACATGGACAAGACAAGAGGCAATAGGTACAAATTGCACCAGGAGAGGTTTCATCTTAAAATAAGAAAGGAATTTTTTACAGTAAGAATAATCATTCACTGAAACAACCTCCCCAGAGTTGCTGGAAGCTTCAAGATGTAACTGGACAGTCTGCTAGGTAAAATCATGTAGGCTCCCTTTCTCACAGAAAGATGGACCAGATGGTCTGTAGAGCTCCATTCCAACCTGAGGCATTCTATGGTTCTCTGTGAGAACCATCTAAGTGAGGATGGTGAGGCCCTCACACAAGTTGCCCAGAGAAGTTGTGGCTGTCCCATCCCTGGAAGTGTTCAAAGCCAGCTTGGTCAGGGCTTAGAGCAACCTGGTCTAATGGAAGGTGTCCTTGTCCATTGCAGCAGCATGAAAATAGATGATCTTTAAGGTCCCTTCCCACCCAAACTATTCTATCAGTCTATGAAGCTATGGTAAGTCATAGATTACCTGTGTCTGTCATTAAAGGGTTTGGCATGAGTCCCTGTAGTCCCCACACTGTCATTTGGTCTTAACTATGGCCCAGGCTCCTGAACTTATATCTTATTAACATTTTAAAAAGTCCCAGACATACATCAAATTCAGTGTCAAACAAAGACATGGCAAAAGACAGTTCTTTTCTTCCTGGGTATGATTTAAACCAAAACAAAGTGGAGACCAAATGAGAGAAATGTGCCACCAGGATCTCCATTTACAGATGGAGAATGGGTGCTCCCAATGAAATCACAGAATCACTTAGGTTAGAAAAGACCTCCAAGATCATCAAGTCCAACCCTTGACTGAGCACCACCTTGTCAATCAGACCATGGTACTAAGTGTCAAGTCCAGTTGTTTCTTGAACACCTCCAGGTATGGTGACTCCACCACCTCCCTGGACAGTCTACTTCAAAGTTTAACAACTCTTTCCATTAAGAAATTCCTCCCAGTGTCCAACCTGATCCTCCCCTGGCACAGCTTGAGGCTACAATCTCTCGTCCTGTCACTAGTTGTTTGGGAGAAGAGGCCAACCCCCACCTGGCTCCAACTTCCTTTCAGGTAGTTGTGAAGTGTGATAAGGCCACCCCTGAGCCTCCTCTTCTCCAGGCTAAACAACCCCAGCTCCCTCAGCTTCTCCTCATAGGACTTACTCTCTAGAACCTTCATTAGCTTCGTTGCCCCACTCTGGACTCAGTCCAGCATCTCAATGTCTTTCTTGTACTGAGGGGCCCAGAACTGGACACAGTAATCAAATTGTGGCTTCACCAGTGCTGAGTACAGAGGTAAATGAGCAAAGTTATCAAGGATTGGGCAGCATGCCTGAGAAAACAGTAGTTAAAGCCCAACAATGGGATCACAAGCATCTTAACATGTTACACTTGTTATAGCTAGTCCTATTGGACTAAAGTACATTAAAAGCAGAGTTCATATCATCTATAAAATAGTTATATTGTAATTGAGATAATATGAACTACCAAACACTAATAGTTTAGCTAATAATAAAATTTTTGACCAGTGAATTCTTGACCACTGTGGTTAAAAGCTTTGAAAACACTTGTGCTTCCTCTGAAACACTGAGTACAGCTATATGCTACCTACTTCAATAACTACTGACCTCAACAGAAAAAAAACATGGCTCATTTCAGGGGGAACACCTTGCCAGATTTGGGATTGTACCATCTCTGGACAATGAAGAAGTGTGAAGGCCCCCTTTTTTTTTTGCACCTCGTTGGATGACACAAATAGCAAGCTTTAGGCACAGTTCTGGCACCAGGATTCATTACCTCTGCTCCAGGAAAACCTGTTTATATCAGTTGAGTCCATGGAAATGTGAAGGAATATGTATTCAGAGGTCTGCAGATGAGGCTGAGATCGTAGGTGTATCATAACTATGGTATGAGCTTTATAAAAATCTCTGCAGTGTGAGGAAGAAAAATCTAAATATTGATTGCAAGGTTTGATCAGTTGCATTTTTCAGATGAAATTTCAATCTGATTTGTCATGTTATTGATTTTTTTTTCCTTGCTCTTTGAGTAATTATTTTCAGTTATTCTTAGCTGATTCTTCACTTTGAACTAGTATCAGATATCAGATTTAGGGGTTTTTATTTAAATGTGAGAAAATATTCAATTTAAGAAGGATTATAAAGTCAGATCTGAAAGAGAAAGCTGGTATGTGTCCTTCTGGGAAGACAACAGAAGCACTATCTACTAAGGTAGAAAGGCTGTTCAAAAGTGTGAGAAAAGTAGAACATGTTTTATTATGTTCAAAGGTGCAAGATAGCTTATCAAGTCTTTAATTCATCACAAGCTTTACAGTGCTATTTACCTAGATATTATTTCCAAATATATCCAGAACATTTGTAAATATGTAATGACATATCTTTATTGCAGTAGGTGTTCTGCATGATTCAGCAGGATATTGAGTAGTGTATTCAAAGTTTGCGGTTATATCAGTAACGGTTCATAAATGTGGACAGATGACATACTGAAATAACTTTCTCTTCTTACTATCTTCATAATCTGTTTCTATTTTTTTTTTTTGTTCTTTCTTAAAAAGAGATCATAGGTAAGGTTAAATGCCTCACAGTTATTGAATCATTTAGATGGACTTGTTCTGAAATCTGTGTCTATTGCCTCTTGTCCCAAAGCACACCTACAAGAAGAGCCTGGCTCCACCTTCTCTACACCTCCCATTCAGGTGTAGAGGTGAAGGCAACAGTAAAGTCTCTTCTTACCTTCTCTTCTTAAGGCTGGAGAGACCAGATTCCCAGTGTTTATATCAAAAACTTCAGCTCCCTGAATAATTTGACTTTAGAACTCTTCAGGGTTATGAGGACAAAATATGATGAAGTTATATTTCATGATGACATAACTGGGATTTCTTAAATGATGTTACAGAAACTGATAAACATGATTGTGTTAGGAGAATTGAGGAAAAAATCTTATATTATGCTCCTCTGATTAATTACAGAACTGGGAAAAATAGCAGTTTAAAAAAGATTTAAGATATTTGCTTGCACAAGCATTACTCACAGCCAGCTTTATTTTTTAAGTATGCAATTTTTCTGTCAGTCTATAATGTGGTACTGTGACTGGGTAATACATCTTCAGGCTTTACAGACTCTTGGCATGACATGCTCTTTGAGACAGTAGATCTTAATAGATCCTTCTGCACTAATCCTGACTAATGAGCAGATGAATAGTTAATTAAAAATGCTCCACACAGACTTAGTCAACCATTGCAGCTTCACCGTGTTTCCTGCTTTCTCATAGATGAACAGAACTTGCATTTTTTCCATTAGATCATGATGGTTCAAAAAGCTCCATTATAGTTTACCAGATCACTGATCTATGAACTAAACAGTATTTAAATATTTCTTGATTTGATTTACTCAGTAGTATATGATCTTCTGTGCCTTCACTGAAACCATACAGTAAAAGAGCCATTATGTCATTTCTTTTGTGACTGATCTAGCAGATCATTAAGAAGTTTTTCATTCTGTAGGAATTAGTCTTTAAGGGCTTAATTTTTTTCTAGTGTTCTCACTGCTGGTGCTCTGCACAGGGGGATGCTGTTTAACATGGATGGTTCTTTAAGTGCAATATGTACAGCATGAAACCATAGGCAGCAACCCATATCAAGTTAAAATGAGGTCTTTTCTGTCTAAGGAGAATCCTGGTTTTATCTCCTGAATTACACATTCACCAGCTTCTGATGACACAGCACATTTTAAAAGTGCTGGCAGGTGTAAAAGGATGCAAAATGACAAGAGTTTTGAGTCATACCAGAAAAGAAAGTAACCCTTCCCTCCTTACTGAGCTCTTAATAAGATTCACTGGTGGATAAAACTTCTGGTAATGACCAACGGAAAACAAGGAAAGAACTCTAAACAGTTTTAATACCCCAGGCCCAGACCTACAAGTTCACCCTGAAGTTTTACTTTTAAAAATATACAAAGCTCCAAAAACTTGCCCACAAATGTTTTGAAGAGCCTTCAGTTCTTTAATACCTTGAGGTAGGATAAAGAGAGGATGCTGCTCACATTTTCTCAGAAGATACTTTTACTGATAATTTTAGAAAATATGGGAGAAAATAACACATCTTGGCAAAAGTTTAAATGGGTAACATACAACCAAAACAAAGCATTCCCTAAAACTAGAATGCTTACCCATAGAACCTAGGAAACTCCAACCCACTTGGTTTTAAGTTACTCAAAATATTAAGAAAATACATTAAGAGAAGAATAAGAGAGAAATAGCTACTGTCAGAGTGTCCTGTGCAAGTCCAGCTTTCACACGATGGAGGTAGGTATCAAGAAAAATGGAGACCCCTGTGCTGCTGTTTTTATGTGCCCTATCCCCCTGTGGCCACCCCTCCCTGGTGGGACATCTGGCTCACTGGCCATTCTGTGGCTCTGGGCTGCAGTGAGGGGTGGTGTAGCCATTCAGAGCCTGGGTTAGAGGCCCCAGGGAGTGTGTTGTGGGCAGTGCTCCCAGGCTGCCTTTGACTGACAGCAGCTCCAGGGCTGCCCTGTGAGGCTGGGGAGGTTGCCATGTGGGATATGGCCTGACCTCATCTATCTGAGATTCAACCTGACCTTTCCCCCTGGACAAACACACACTAGAGTTGGTTCCGACCCAATAATTAAATAATCCAGTATCTCACAACAGCAAGAGTGGTGTGACCAGACCTATAGAATTTGGATTCAGTTGCATAAAGATCTCAGTCATTCTAAGACTGCTTTTTTTGCGATTTAGTATTTAAGACACTTAGTCTTCAGTAGCAGAGGAATAGTCAAGTCTTCATGTAGGAATAGAGCAGACTCATATTTTCCTTTAGAGAAATCCACTGTGTTTATGGAATAATTGTTACTCTGATGAACAATGACTCCATCTTGTTTCATTTAGCCAAAAACATCTTATCCTTTCTCCAGCTGTGCAATTTTAGGCTACAACTTTAAAAGATAAGATATTTTAAGAGATTTTTCTCTAACCTTTGAAGTTGTTGTGCATAAATGCTGTACACAAACAATTCATCTGTGAGAACTAAAGCAATGTTTTTCTGAAGTCAGAGTGATTATGGGGTGGAGGGGGAAGGCTGACTCTTGTTTCTTGCTGTTGTTTAGATGTGGTTCAGACTGTCCTTGCAAATTTGTTAAGAACCAACAGGAAAGGCTAAGCTAAAGACTTGCTAAAAAAGGCAGAAGATGAATGGGAGGACACTTGGGGCAAAGCAGTTGGTCATGAGAGAATGTGAGTCCCCAGGTACTCAGTGCGAAAGGGGACGGGGACCACCCCCAGCCAGGGCAGGAGGTAGAAGGTCACCCATTTTGGTGTGTGGTTGTGCCTCCCTGGAGAGAGACACGCGACTTAGATGATTTGGTTAATAAAATAGTTTTGCTTAGATGACTTTGTCCCCTCTCAAATTTATCAAGAGGTATTTCTCACACACCCAAGCAAGGATTATTGTTATTTTTGAACTACCAATATTGTATTACAAAAAATGCATCAAGCCAGTATCCTTGGTCAAGCCAGTCACTTTGGATCAGATCATTTGCCATGATAATGCAAGGTGCCATTTGCCAAAAGTAATGATGAATTCCAATGTTCATAGTTTTGAACAAAAATTCAAGAAAACCTTTTTACCTTCAAAATTTTATATGGCTAGAAATAAATACCAGGTGCTCAAAGGAAAACTACAAAAAATTACAAGGAGGATGATTAAGGAAAAACATGCCCATGCCAGAAAATTCTTTACATAAAACATTGCTTAGATCAAGTATGTACCTTAAGTGCCAAAATTTACTTCCCTTTTGGTTTAAAAATGTGTTCTGTCTAATATAATGATATTTCGTGGAATATTTTTCTGTAGTTCAGATGCTTCTCACTAGAATCAAATGCACTGGTTAGATTAGGTGAGAGTTTCTTGGGAGATATTTGCTCAATTGTAAAAAGTAACATTGTAGACAGAATTACCAAACCAGTAGAAATTAGGAAGAAATGAGTCATGGTCATTAACTTCCTTTAGGACTCTCATGTGTCAGAACCTAAATGTTACTCCTTGATAAATTCACCCAAGGTATAATACTGTACATGCACTTAATAGCAACAAATGCTCTATTAGTAAAGCAGAACATTTATAAATATGATAAAGTTAATACGAGAGCTGAACGCCTGCTAGGACTGACTGTTTTTACTACTGTGATGTCCAAGTCTAAGGCATCTATACAGTTACATTTTACTTCATTTTGAAACTCATTAAAAAAAAAAGCAAAAGTGTGTCTAACCAGCAAGAGGTATTATCTTCCTTCCAGAAGTAAAAAAATGCCACGCTGGAAAACTACAGGGACACTGACCAAAGAGCAATAAAGAAAGATCAGGAGAACTTCTGAAACATTAATGATGTCCTTCTGCCAAAGCTTGTAAAAATGTGCTAAAACTTTGAGTATTCATGAACATGGCAGCTTGAGATTTACCTCATCTCATCAACTCCCTGGGCTAAGTTTTCACTTACCCAATATTTTTCCCAGATGGGATCTCTATAGGATTATGAGAGAGAAGAGGGAAAGACGTACATTCCTTAGCCAAGACATAATTAAACAGAGTTATCAAGGCCAGACCTCTGACTGGGCTGTGAAATCTACTGCCAGATGTTGCAGATACATCTGTCTAAGTACTAACAGGATCACTTTTATCATAATATCTAAGCATTTCACAAATATTAATGGATATTCTCTCTGGGAAAGGACTATTTTTTCTTACTACCATAGTATAGGACAGAACCGGACAAATAACAGTAACAAAGTGGGTATTTTTTGAGTTTTGCATTTTGCTTTTAAGCATTTTTTATCTGCCTTAAACTCTGTGAAGCCTGAAAATCTATAGACATCTAGTTGCTTCCACATAGCAGACTCTTTCCTCCCTTTTTCTGTAGCTGTTGAACAAGAGGGCATTGACAAATGGTCAACTATTTACTGAGCATTCACTTCAATATATTTTTAGTTGTGCTAATCTTACATAGTGTCATGGTAGCAACTGTGGCCTACAGGTTGAAAAACTAAAAGACAGTTATCAAGGATCTTATATACAGACATACATACATATATTTACAAATATAAACCAAAAATATTAACAATAATTAAATGTGCATTAAAAATTAAATGTGTATGTGAATATATATATTTTTATGTCATTTAAAATGTGGACATACGTATATCTGATATAGGTACCTTATATTTCATCTATTTCATAACACATGGGAGTTGTTTCACATTTTTTAAGAGTTGTCCATCCTGAACTTCCTGCACTATACTGAACATGATGTGTGAGAGAGAAAATTCTGCTTCTTACATTACTTGGGCATTTCACTGTGCACAGGGGCAGAGAAAATGGGGAAGGAAAGGTGGGGAAATGGCATCAAATCCTATACTTTGTGTTCGAAAACTGCGCTCTTCTCTGCAAAGATCCAAGCAGGCTTTTCTTAGACCTCCCAGACCGGTGAAGAAGAGTGTATGTGTGCATATGAGAGCAAAAATGGGACACTTCCATCAGGTTTGGCATTAAATAGCCAATAACTGAAATAGCACCTGTAAGAGATCACTAAATGTAAACATCCAGGTGCTGCAACAAGCAAAAACATTTATTTAAATGTCTGCAACACTGCCAGCTTCTGATGTCCAAAAGAGAGGCACATTTTCTTCCATTTACAGAGTAAAATGGAGTTGGTCAGACTCCACCTCAGACATGAAGACCTTCTCCAGTGACTAGCAAGGGAACCCAAATGGCTGTGTAGACAGGGTACAAGTTATCTTTGAAAGCTAAAGGGTGGTGGGGGAGTGGGTAGAGAAAGTTCCCTAACTCGGCCAAATCTGAATTATAAACCATTTAAGGGGGAGTCAGTGCACCCTTCTGCTCCCCTTGGGGGACACACGCTGAGCCAGTCCCAGAGTCTGCCATGCATATGCTGAGGTCAGCTGCGTGATGGATGTGCTGACTCGGGATGTCTCCCCACTGACAGCTTTGGCAGCTGTCAGTCTCTGCCAGGTCTCATCCTTTACACTCTGAGCAGGGAAGGTTGGTTTACAGAATATGAAGACTAGGCTAAAGTGTATTAATCCATTATGTGTTTTCCTAAGTATTGCTTGCCAAATTCGATGATGGCATCACATATATCGCAGACAGGCACCCGATACTGATTGAGCTGGCATTTCTGATGCTGGCTGAAGGTGGAAGCTCACACGTGAAT